GGTAGCCTGGAGCTGAATACATGGAGATATCAGACCCTAAAATACAGGCAGAGCAGAGGGGCAAATCACTGAACAGACAATGCTTCTGTATGAGAAAGCGGGTAAGCTTTGCAACAGAGCAGCATATTTAAAAAATAACAGCCACCCCCTCACACACACAGGCTTGTGTATTCTTTAATTCAATTTTTTCCTGTCAATACTATTTTATGTTCTGTTTTGATGCAACAAAACTTCAAACACACTTATCAAGTGCTTTATAGAAACGTGAAATAGATAGGAGATACTTCCTTGTGAGAGTTTGGATAGGTCAATTGTTGAGACTTATGTCTTAGTCATTAGTGGATAGGATTCCACCCTCTGAAGATTTTCTTTGAGGACACAATCATATCCCAGTAGGTTGCTAACTAGTTTGTGGCATTGAAATCTTATTGCACAAAATCCACCACATTCTATCATGTTTCTATTTCTCTCAGATTATGCTGCTAAGGAATAGTTCACTTCTGACCAGTTATATGAATTTAAAAAAATAGAAAAAAGCTGTCTCAGCTTTAGACCTGTGGTTTGTGTTTATTCAGTCAAAAGCCAACTGGACATAAGTTGGAAGACAAGTTTGTTTATTAACTATCCAGCTTCCTACCATTGTCACCACTTAAATTAATGGCTGAGAAAAGCATTTAAATTACATCTGGATCCTCCAAGATTAAACAAATACAAGAGTCACTTTGTGCAGTAGTCCCAAAACACCTGAAAGCACATCAGCATAAATAGTAAATTTACCATGTATGTAGCACCATGCATATTTCCTACTCAAAATATCATTGTTCCCCCAAAGCTCTCTAGGTGATGTAGCAGCAGAGGTCAAAAGCTCTGGGGGAATGCTGACCATAGGAAAACAGATCCTTCCTGAGGAAGATGGATGGCAGAAACTGAGGGTCCGGTTTATGAGAATGAGAGATGGGTGTCTCCTGGACTACTTTGGAACTGCCAGAACAATCTTTGTCCAGGAATGTGGATATTTTCTGGAAGACCTTCTCTGTTCATAACATGGAAATGGCACATGCCTGTTTGAAGTCTCAGGAGTGAACGCATGGACAACCACAGATAGGGAACTGAGCTAGTTGACCACAACATCATTTGTACCTACATCTCACCATTGTTAAGAAAGCTCACCACCTTACAAAAGCTCCCGCTCTTTAACCTGGCTAAGGCTGACTGTCCACCCTTGTGTTCAATAGCTCTGTAATTATAGCAGAATGAGACACACTCCACTACAAGACTTATTATGGATTGGAGGCTCAAGAATGGAGACTACTTCCCATTTACAGCAGCATGAAGTGTGATGGTTCACTTTTGGCTGGATTTATCACCCAGCATGAGCTTTCAGGACCACCAAACTGCATTGACAATTTAGGTGATACCTGAAAATGATTTTGCTATTAGCTAGCTGTCTTGATAGGGATATGCTTGTATAAGTGCAACTTGGTGGAGAGAAATATAAATACCATTTGATAGAACTGACAACTTTAAACTGACAGTGCCACAGTAACCCCCAAATCCACTGTCTTGAATGCTTGTCTGCTACTGTGCTGATATCTACTGGTACCTCAACGGGATGGATGCCCTTCCCCAATCAGACAAACATGGGAATCACAGTGCCCAAATAATACAGTAACTGGCAAGATTAGAACTTTGAAATGGGAAGGAATAAACAACTGTACCAAGGTAAATTTCATGGATTAATCAAGAGAAACATTCAGCAGCAAAAAGTCTGACCATGAGAGTCCAATCCAGGGGAAACACCAGCAGCTCCTTTTGGTCCCAGCTTCCCAGAGAGTTCACTCTGAGTGGGCTGAGTCCTTACTGAACTATACCTTCTGCCCCAGCATGTGGTAACAGTGACACTGAGTAAATTTAGAGTAAGGAAGACTATTTGCTACAATTGCTTGAATTGTACAAATCCTCATCTGAAATGGTAGGAGTCTTGCCCTCCGGCAGATCCATAGCTTGAGCCACAATGAGTAGCAAACCCACAAATTAGTGGAAACAGTTTTAAAAGTGGAAACAGTTTTAAAAGGATTTCTGAACACTGTACACTGTTGTACTAGAAGATTGGCCTGAAACAACGAAAATATCCTTTTCCACTGGATAAGCAAAAATACTACAACTCATTAGGAAAAAAAGCTCAGCACAACAGGGAAGTATTTAAAATCAGATCGTCAACTGGTAAATTGAGAGAGATACCCTTTATACGGTTAGGTCATCTTCATTTGAATGAGTTCTAGGGCCAACAGGTAGAGGTATGCTTGAACATGAGCAGTGTAAAATGAATTGGCAGATTGACTAGAAATTGAGTTTTGGGTTCTGCGTTTGTACAAATCAATATTCAAAGCAACTTGTACAAAATAGACTAGGATAATATTCAGAAGGCTGCCTCTAAAAGGCCCTTCCTCCCCCCCATGAACGTATTAACAACTGGACAGAAAAATCAGAAGAGGATTGCTAGATTAAGGCTGTGTCTACACTGCCACTTTCAACGCTAAAACTTTAGCCGTTCTCGGGTGCAAATCACTCCCCCAGCGATAAAAGTTTTAGTGCTGAAAAGTTGTTTGTCTGCATGAAGACAGTAACTTACTTTGTATGAACTGCTGAGGTAGTCCATGTAATATAGCTAACATCATAAAGTTGTCTTTTCCTATGTTCATTATACCATCCACACTCTAGACCGATATGTTTGGACTGAAGAAAAAAAACAAAACAAAAAATGCACCCTCTTTACAAGAGAATGCAGATTAGGAAGTGGAACAAATGAAAACTGAATATATGAGTACAAAAATTCTACATTACCTTATTTTGCTGGAATCTTCTCATTTACAGTAAACTGTTCTATGGTTAATATTTTTGAAAGTCATTTAGCCATACATTCACTCCAGACCTACTCCTCAGATCAGGCTTCCAGCTAAGAACTATTAGTAAAACAGCATCTTCTAATAAGAATATCCTGTGATAGAAATAGTGATACTAATGGCATTTCTATACACAGTTTTGAAAATTAGTTTTTAATGTTTACATTTAGTAAATATTTTCATGAGGTTTTTCTACTGTAAGTTCTTCTTTAAGTTTCTGGTATCTTTTTTCATAAGCAGAGTTTTCATCCACCTTGAACCAACTTGCAGGTTGTTAACCTAACAAAGCATATAAGAATTTTGTACATTTTCCTAAATGAAAAACAAAATAGAACCGTGCAACAACCATTCACTTATGCATCACAACCACAATTTCTGTCGAGTTGTGTATATCAACTATGTTGGAAATATTAAAGAATACATTAAATTCAATTATGAAAACATTCACTGCATTCAGCAAAACAATAATCTAAGCTTCTTTAAATTGTATTGATTTCTCTTTCTGCTCAAGGTGTGCAGTTTATCATTAAGATTATCTATTACTTGAGTAAAAGAAGCAGTAAGTAGATATTTTTAAAACTATTCATAGACAATTTGTCTTAGTTACATCATTTGTTTGGGGCCATTTTTATCAAATAGAAGAAAGTGTCCAGTTTAAGACAATCTACTTTGTAGCAAAAGAATGACTGGAAGTGCTGCTAAATGGACCACATTCTGAAGGGAAGGCCTAGCAGAAGAAACAATGTGCATACATTAGGAACAGCAGTTTGCTTAACATCAAATTGCTTTCTTTAAAGCAAGTTTTATTAATATGTCAAGTGAATCAAGGTCTTACTTTGCACATCTTAGCTGCTAAGTCCCTCTATCAAGGATGTAAAATCATCCCAATTTTAAACCTTTTTTGGGGCAACACGTCATTACTTATGGTATTCAAACCCCTCAGAATGCCACTTCTAGCCAAGTGCAGAGACTGGGAGCCATGCAAAATAGTTTTGGATATTCACTACAAAACTAAAAGAGGTAAAGTATTTGTCATTAAAAAAGCAAGCAAAATGGGACTGTTATTTAAAAAAAAAAAGCAAAAGCTTAATATATTTAATGTTTATAACATCTTTAATGTTCCCTTTTTAAAAATCCTTATGGAAAACTATTTCAGTTCAGTTTACATGGAATCCTGGATATGCATCAAGGCTTAAGTGTTACTCCCTCCCAATAAATAAAACAATATTATCAATTTGCTCAATTTATTTTAAACAAATCAACTTAGAAATTTCATTGAATTAAACAAAACTTTTGAACATATAAACATATTTGCCATGTTCTTGACAGGTATGGATACCTGTATAAGTTAGTATTCATTTATTATGAAAGCTGTCAATTAGTAAGGCATGTCTTCAGTACAATTAAGATCAGCTTGTTTAACTATTCTTGTCTTGCAAGTAAATACTATCAAACTGCAGTCCTGTATAAGATAACATTTATGGTTGATCAGTACCATTGGTTACAGCTTCATTTCTTTGCCATACAAAACCAACAAAGCCAATCACATCAAATAAATCATGGCTCTTTACTATAATTCAGTAAGTGATGTTAATTATGGTCCTTATCAAAACACAAGTTTGGAAAGGCTATTTACAGTGTACATGGCTGAGCATGCACATTTATAGATACAAAGAAACCTGCCAGTTTGATACGATGCAATTACATAGTGCCTGAAAATAATAATTCTCAAACACCATTTTAATCAACAGTTTCAAGTGGGAAATATTCTTTATTTTACAACTGCTACACTTGCATGGAATCTCTTATAAAAACACAAATACCCTTCAAGAAGTCTAGATGCATTTTCTACATACTACAGGTTAAGGCAGTAAAAAAATGTATTCCTGATAACTGGTGGTCTTGACAATGTCAATTAAAGCTGTCTGAAGCCATTTTTTCATTCTCCATCAAATCCTTCAGGTCTGTACAGTTAGTGAATAACAGCTGATCTTGCTTTAAAAAACAAACAAGGAAAAAGGAACAAAATTATAATAAATGATAAGGTGAAAGGAAAATATGAATTAATTTTAAGAGGTTAAAAATGATCAGGGATGAGTTTTAAATGCAAGTCTGAATTTATCAACAAAAAACTACAAAGGATAACAGAAAACAATAGAACTGATTTTATGCACATTGCCAGTATCTTAATTAAAATATACTGTTACTCTGAACAATTCAAGTAATGTAATAGAGGCCATCAAAAATAACTTCATGAATCCATCTCAACTTTCAGCAATCACATTCTCAACCATTTAAGCCCACTGATTTTTATTTTCTTTAACTTTTTATAATAAACATGAAACTTAAACTGTACACTGGATTTTTTACACTTAATGATTTTATTTGCACTTGTGATTCCTTTAATGGTTAGCTTGGCTAACCAGCATGTTGTAAAAATATGGCAGATTATGTATTTAATCAAAGCACTTTGATTTAGGCATGAAACAAATTCAAATGGTAGACATTCTGAATTCCTTATGCATCACATGAGATGCAAGAAACACCATCTATTTTACAGACAGGTATATTTCAGACAATCCTTTCTTAAAAAAAAAAATCAATACTTTATTCCCAGCTGCAGATGAGATAGGGCATAATCTGTTGTAAACAGGGCACTGTGTTGTAAAACCAGGTGTTTATTTGTTTTAAGATCTCTCTGAACGTTGGAAAAAAAAAAAAAAAGACTCTTCAAAGCATCTTCCAGCATTGTAGCATTTTCTGCTGCTTCATCACAATTTCCTTTGATTCCTTCTTAAAGATGGTTGTGTTCACAGCAGGTTTGTTTTTAAAAATCAGTTGAAATATATAAAATTCTGTACACGTTCACAAATTATTGCATAAACAGCATAATCTTCATGACAGCGTTTCAGCAACACACGTCCATCTCTGGAAATTCACGTTTCCCTTCTTGCTTTTTTCTTCTTTTTAACTTGTTTTGGGGACTCCCAGCTATCTTCAGACTTAGCTAAAAAATTATGACAAACAAAATGAAACCAATGGACAGGATAAGGACATTTATGCACAATTCACTTACAAATATTTAGTAACTTTCACATTAATATAAGATTAAGTTAAATTATGCAGAAATATAGCATGCACTGTTAAAGCAATTTTTGCAAAGTTCTACTCCCACTCCTGACAGAAGCATTATTTGATCAACCATGCAAAAGATGACAACCTAAATTTAAAATAGTATATTTATATTCTTCTCATGATGGGATCTGGTTTTGTGCTTTAAAACATTTAGGAATCTTCCCAATTATTACACAATAGTGATTATACTCAAGTAACAGTGTTTTAGCATACTAGTTGGTTCTTTTCTAGATACTTTAAATTAGGGCTACTCAACTTTGGAAGCCCTGGGGGCCACAATGATACCCACAGCATATGCTGTGGGCTATAACTTAAGTGTGGTTGCATATATATGCAAATATATACAAATAACTTTTCACACTGACGGGCATGAATACAAAGATTAAGGCAAGACTATACAACACGCAGACCCCATTTAAGTCAGTTCTGCTGTTATTAGTAAAATGCAATATTTACCTGATTTCCACCCATATAGCAGCACTTTTAATGAGCAATGACAGTTCAGGAATTTAACTACTAAAACACATATCAACAGAAGACCATTACTGACTACTTTTTTGTTTTGGCTTCCTCTCGCAGGCCACGTGTCGAGCCTCACATAAACCTAAACCACACCATGCACTGCAAACAAAGGGGCTGCTTGTTGAGTAACCCTGCTTTAAATACACAATTACAATAATCTCACTGTCACCTTGTACTCTCCCCCCTGCATGTTGCAATATTCATCTGTTGGCTTCCTTCATACTTACTAGGAATATTACAATTCAATTATTTTTGTAAGTGTGTAACTAAAGAACACAAGAATGCCAATACTGGATCAGACCAATTGTTCATCCAGCCCAGCATCCTATCTGCTGACAGTGGACAATACCAAATGCCCCAGAGGGAGATAACACAACAGGTAATCCTCACATGATCCCTCCTCTATCACCCACCTCCACAGCAACCGAGGGTAGGGTGATTCCATTCCTGTCTGTCCTGTCTAATAACCATTGATGGATTTAACCTCCATGAATCTATCTAGCTCTATTTTGAACCCTATTAAAATCCTAACCTTCACCACATCCTCTGGCAAGGAATTCCACAGGTTGACTGTGCACTGAATGAAGAAAAACTTCCTTTTGTTTATTTTTAACCTGCTGCCTATTAATTTCATTTGTGACCCCTAGTTCTTATATTGTGGGAATAAGTAAATAACTTTTCCTTATTCACTTTTTCCACACCAGTCATGATTTTATAGACCTCTATCATATCTCCCCTTAGTCTTCTCTTTTCTAAGATGAAAAGTCCAAGTCTTTTTAATCTCTTCATATGGGACCTGTTCCAACCCCCTAATCATTTTTGTTGCCCTTTTCTGAACCTTTACCAATGCCAGTATATCTTTTTTGAGATGAGGCGACCACATCTGTATGCAGTATTCAAGATGTGGGCATACCATGGTTTTATATATTAGAGAGAATAAGACAGAAAAGAACTTATTGCCTCTCTCTTTTTTAATGATGCCTAACATTCTATTTGTTTTTCTGACTGCCACTGCACACTGAATATATGTTTTCAGAGAACTATCCCAATGACTCCAAGATCTCTCGAGTAGCTGTAGCTAAATTAGTCCCCATCATATTGTACATATAGCTGCAATTCTTTTTTTTCCAATGTGCATTACTTTACATTTATCAACATTAAATTTCATTTGCCATTTTGTTGCCCAATCCTTAGTCTGGTGAGATCTTTTTGAAGCTCTTCACAGTCTGCTTTGATCTTAACTATCTTGAGGAGTGTGGTATCATCTGCAAATTTTGCCATCTCACTGTTTATTCCTTTCTTCATATCATTAATAAAAAAGTTAATAGTACTAGTCCCAGGACAGACCCTCAGAAGACCCCATTAGTTACCTCTCTCCACTTGGAAAACTTATATTTATTCCTACCCTTTGTTTCCTGTCTTTTAGCCAGTCATCAATCCATGAAAGGACCTGCCTTCTTAGCTCATGACAACTTAGTTGAAGAGCCTTTGGTGAGGGACCTTGTCAAAGGCTTTCTGGAAATCCAAGTATACTATATTCACCAGATCCCCTTTGTCTACATATCTGTTGACCCCCACTAAAAGAACTCTAGCAGATTAGTAAGGCATGATTTCCTTTATAGAAACCATGTTGACTTTCCCCCAAACAAATTATGTTCATCTATGTGTCTGACAATTTTATTCTTTACTATAGTTTCAATTAATTTGCTCAGTACTGACATTAGACTTATCTAATTGCCAGGATCACAGAAATTTAAAGCAGTTACACGTTTACACAGAGAGGACTGGCAGGACTGGCTCCCCCCTGCCCCTACTGCCTTTGATACAGAGGCAGCAGTGCAGGGGAGGTGAATAGACTCAGTGGGAGCTGGTACCATGAGCACCAGTTCCCACACTCTCCCCGTGCTGCTGCCTCACTCTGTGGGAGGGCGTGGTTGGTGGGAAGGCTTCGTGTAACTCTGAGGGTTAAGCAATAAGCGCACATGCCTAGTACATTGTAACATCTTTGAGGTAGGCAGCATCTTTTTGTTATCCTGAGTACAGTGCCTAGAGCAACAGGCTCTGATCTCTGATTTGAGACCGCTAGGCACTAACTAGCACAATGGAAATAAAAACCACATCACCACCAGTAGTTCATGCTAAGGTGCATAATGGCAGAATTACAGAAGGAAACCCATGCTGCAAACATCTGCCCAGCTACTCCCATATTATCACTTGCTATTTCATCATTACTTCAATTCTCTGAAACATTCTCTACTACAGTCCACCACTGATGTATTAATATTCAAATCTGTTCAAAGGAAAAAACAAACATTCAACTGTTAATGTTTTTCAACAAGGCTGGTCTTTAGGGTGATTGGCCCCTTACAAATTCTAAAATAGACAAGATAACCAAGACTAATGGCACTTCTTACACAGTAATTAATATGACAGGTAGAAGTTCATACGGGTCTGCCAAAGTATCTTAGTCATATCCTGAATCAGAGGGCTGAAGTAACCAAAATTTACTAAGTGTACTGAGTTGTTCATATTCTACAGTAGGGGTGGGGAACATTTTTGGGTCAGGGGCTGCTGACAGGAAAAAAAAAAATCAGTTGGGGGCCACTCACAAGCGAGAAGCAAAACCAAAAATACCTCTCTTTGATGTTGCCCTGACTGAGAAGGAGAAAGACACTTCTCACATTCCCCTTGCACATGAGAACCTAGGAGGGCCCAGGCTAGTAGATTTTGTGTGCTCCAGCCCCATGGTGAGACGGTGGAGGGGCTGGAGCACCAGAGTGGGCTCCCAATGCTGGGGGGCGGGAGGGGAGAGAAGAGGCCTGAGCATTGGGGGCCAAATCCAGTCAAGCTGGGAGCTTCATCCAGCCAATGCTTGAGGTTCCCCACCCCTATTCTACAGATATGATCCAAGTGACCAGTAAGGACTCTGAAAACACTATGCATCAGTTTAATTTGTGAGAGAAAAAACAAAAAAAAAGATTGGAATCCAGGTTTCCATATAGTGAAAGGCTAGTGCAATTGTCAAATATAGATATTCAGTCTCTTCTCCCCGCACCCAGATGGCTGAATATTACTCCAATTAAGTATGTACATTTAGCAGAAAAAGCCAGTGTGACGATCTTCAGACTGAGTGTTACTTACTTTGTGGAGGAGGCACGCTGTTTTGTTTAGTATTAGAACTGGAAATATCTGTCTCTTGTAGCATCTGTGGCACTTGGGAAGAGATCTTGTCAGAATCACTCTCTGATACAATTACAGATGGCTCAGTAGAAACAGCAAGTGGAGGAGTCTCCTCAGGCTATTTTGAAACAAAGATTTTTGTCATTAATCTGGTGAGACAGAATACTTACACATCTTTTGAAAAGTTGGTAAAATTGATTTTGTTCAGTACCAAGTCATAAGATCATGGTTGCCCTCTAGTGACAAAACTGAATTAGTCTGAATATAATCCAAAGGATCATATTCTCTTTAGTTTATGGGAATAGATTTATTACAGGGGCTGCATGCAGTGTGAAATATATACCATGAAATAAAAACTATGCAATAATTGATCATTTAAGCAAGACTATGCAGAACTCCAATTACTACATGGTTTACAAGATCACACATGCTACAGTATTCAGAAAGTGCATCTAATTATTAATGTTGCTTAAGTATTCACAATCCCTTCTATTTATTTTGAGTTTCCTTATCCTCTAATCATAACTCCGGTCATCTGAAGAAGTGTGCTGTGCCCACGAAAGCTCATGATACCATCTACATGTTTTGTTAGTCTATAAAGTGCTACCAGACCATCTGCTTGCTGCGTTTTTTTTTTCCTGTAACAGACTAACTCAGCTATCCCCTGAAGCTCCAGTCAAGAATGGGTTAGTAAAAATGGGGCAGTTACGCATCATGAGCAAACAGATACTGCAATCCATTCCTCCGTATGCCCGCCTCAATGCTTAGGTAAACATGTACAAGATTAACTTCATCACCCTCCAACCAGTGATGAACACAGCAAGTCTACAGCAGACTCACCTACACACAACCAAAAAAACCAGCTTCATTACTATTTGGTCAACAGTATTCAGCAAAGACAGTGCTATCCATCACTCATGGTCAACCTCACCAATGAGATCATTTGGGGCCAAGATAAGAAATTAGCTCTTAATAATCTTAACCAATCAAGACCATATGTACCAAACAATAAAATATGGTACAATAGATTAAGATATTCTTGCAACAGATACTGAGCTATAGGCTTTGCTGTATTCCAGTGTACACAGACTAGAAGGCTTCATTAGTGTCAAGCAACATTTATGAATAAGAAACTCTTGAAAATAATGAAGGGAAAAAAGAGAGTCTCTTTTAGTGTTCTGATAAGCAATATGAAGTGGGATATGTGGTATACTAGAAGTTGTATCCACTTCCATTAGCTACCATATAGCCATCTGATGCAAATGAATCAAAAAAATCCAGGTTTTATTTTGCAACTGTAAGGTCTTCATATATACACGATACAAAAAACAGGAAAACAGCAAATAAAGCAGAAACTAAAAGCACTAAGAAAAATTACTAGATTTCTAAACTCCAAAGTGTTGCCCATTTGCACGGTGAGGACAAGAAATCAAATAATTTTCATTCAAATCACTACATAGAGTACAGTACAGAAGAGAGGAAATATTATTGTATTGTTGAGAGGTAAGTGAGGGAATCAGAACCTATCCTCTCTCGTGATGACTAATGCAAAGTCTTTATATATTAAAAAAAAGAGGCAAGTGGAGCAAGCAACCCCAATGAATGTGAAAAACTGTCCACTACTGCAACAAACTAGAAGGATTTACTAAATGCCTGGTTCTGTCCAGATAGAACACTACATTTCTTCTGACGTCCAAGGTAATCAAATGCCCGTCTTCCCTGCTCAAATGCAGTTTCAAGTGGAATGTGAGCAAATAAATTGGCTAGTTGATGTGAAAAAGATTACACCACTTTTAGGATGAAATTTGGACAAGGATGCAGGTATAACTTGCCTTTAAAAAGAGGCCCATACATGCAGTCCTCAATATTAATTCAGGCAGCCTCTTTTACTCTTCTGAATGAGGTAAAACACCAAAATACCACCTTCAATGACAGATGCAGAAAAGAGTATACTCTCAACCGTTCCAATGAGGAACACCTAAATCCTGCTAATACTAAATTTCAGATCCCATGGGGAAATGCACTTGAGGGTACACTTTGACTAAGCATTTCAAGCAATATAATTCTAGTATCTAGATATGGAGCATACATGCACTTAAGTGAAAAAACTTTAGTGTAGAGTGGAGTGGGCTCAAGTGTGTAGTAAGATGAGGGCTTGAAATAAAAGCCCATAGAGCACAGGCCTGGTTTGAGGCCCTCATCTTACTATAGAGTGTAGTAGGCCCCCAACCAAAAAAATCTCTTGCAGTTTGAGAGATGAAACTGGCTGTCAGATCATTTATGGACTTGGATGACAAAACAATTCTCCTTTTCACACTTGTTAAATGCAACTTCTACATGCAATTTTCCTCCAATTTTTCAATTCTGGGAGTGCATTTTAAAATTGATTATGAGACAGATTAAGGGAATTTAATCTTGCGAGTAGAGATTTCAAAAACGAATGTGATTTGTTTCAATTACCTCTTCACATTAAATCTAAAGTTTTTTTCTACCTACCAACTCTGAACTCAGACTGTCATTTGAAGGGCCAACAACTCATTGTTACAACCTGAATAAAAATGATGTAACTGGAAGAACAAATCTGTTAATGTGGATGAATATAATAATCCAGGCACCACTCCCATCTTTATATCAGGTCTAACACATTAACTGGGGGCTTTCAAAGTAATAAGTGAATAAAGTAAACTTTTATATTTGCTTACTTGAATAATAAACAGAGTAAAAGTCTACCGAGTCAGCATACCTGCCCTTTAAATCGAGGAAAAAATGCAGCTAATCAATGTCCCAAGCTTATTTCATATTTGAAACTACACTGAAGTAATAGTAAATGTTGTATGGATATAGACAAATTAAAACATTTCAATGCTCCCTCCCCCCATCTTGATTATTTCAAAACAGGAAAAACAGTATCATCATCTTTGTTGATTCATACCTCAGCTGGTTCACTAGTGCTTATGGTCTTCAAAGAAAAAGCTATTTCCTGTTGTGGTTCAGCTTTTGCATTATCCTCCTGAAATTCTTCAACCTCTCTATCCAGGTCATCAGCATCCTAAAGAAAAAAAGAAGCCAACACTGCAGAAGATTCCATTTACCCTTTTCCTTTAAAGTATTGATTCTGTTGGGATACTAACAACTAGGTTGCATGAATGGTAAGAGAAGTAAACATGTAAAGAAAGTATTCGTTTAATACAACTACAAGACATACAGCACAAGACAGGATTATTACAAATCAATTACATATCAAACAAAATAATTCAGTGGGCTCAATTAACCTTAACTGTTGCATGCAGCTCCCCACCCTCATCTCAAAAGAGGCAGTGGGGGGATTGGGGGGGGGATGGAGGAGAAGAACAGAGGGAAGAAGAGAGGTGTGAGGGGGAGGGGGAAGAGAGGGAACAATGGAGGCTCCACAGGAGCCAGTGTTCTGGGGAGCTGGCTGAAAAGCTAACCTGCCTCCCACCTCCCGCCCCATGCTGCTGCCTATAATAAAGCGGCAGTAGCGTAGGGATGAGGGGAGATGTGCAGGCAGCTGCCTCCCTCTGCCCCCCCACACTGCATGTAAACATGTAACTGCTGACATTTTAAGCAGTTATACACTTACAACCCCCCCCCCCATTTTTAACATCCCTACCTTTCTTCTTTAAAGAAGAATCTTACTTGAAGTACAGCATCTCTCCCTCTCCTCAAAGGCATTAGTTACAAATCCCAGGTTACTGGTACATAAATCTCTTTATGAAATGATCTCTGCAGAATCTCAAAGTAAGTTATTTGCAAGCAGTCTCAGTCCGAAGGAGCAAGACTAATTAAAAAACGACCCAAGGACTGCTTCCTCAAAATAGTCCATGTGACTCCAGATTTGAGACAGTAATGATCTGTAAAAAGTCTAAACTGAACTGTGAAAAGCAGCCCTGCATATATCAGGAAGACATATACATTTGAGCACAAGCAGCTAGTCTCCAAAGAAAGAGCTAACAACCTGGGAACACAAATAGCACGAGACAGCACAAGTTTCACCTCTATCTTGCAAATGCTATAAAATATTGAGGCGGCCTAAGGAACTCTTACTCCTGGTCAGGTAACTAACATTTTATTCAGCCCCAGCTAAGGGAAGATTGTCCCTCCGATGCATTTATAGAGCGCAAATGTCAGAGTAAGGGAGCCTGGACGGCTTTGCCAATTATAATGTCAGTCTTGACCACAGTGCAGATCTGCAACAAGCAAAACCCAGGCCTCTCTCAAGTCTGGTTGCACATAAACACAAAGGAGAGGCTTGTGAGGAGGGAAGCTCTGAAAGGCAGGCATGGTACTGTGAGACCATGCCAAGGACATCGGGAGGAACCTTGTACTGATACTTCTATTTCTAATAAGCAAAAATTACAGATGCAGCCATTAACAGTTAACTACGCACATAGTTTTTGCAACATCCTGAATAGCAGGATGTACCCCAAATAAGGGCATTGGGCATTTTAGTTATCTTACATAATATGTAATTAATTGATAAATATTATTAGAACAACCAAGATTTGCTTTGCTATAAAATGGGCTTAGTAAGAAGAATCAATGGGAGGGAATGAGCAGGATTGACCCACAGGTCCTGCTCGTCGTAACTAGAAGTAAATAGATCCTTCACACCGGCTACAGCAGTGCATGGCGTCCCAACAGGTGGGAATCAAAGGGACCACAACTTCCTGCCTGGTACTGTAGGTGGTATACAGGTGAAGTGTAAGTGAACTAGGCTTAATTGTATTATAATAATCTTCTATGAATTGCTTTTGCATTGCATTAATTGCTTTAGAATTTATAGTATTTAAGGTTTCAATTGTATAGTAATTGTTTTTAAGGCTTGTAAAACTAACAATATTAACTGCTTAAAGCTTGCAATAAATAAAGTGGTTAAGTTTCCCTGGAGTGTCCTGGTTTCCTCTGGATCTAAAATAAATCGAACCACACAACAGTCGGGGATGGAAAGTTATTTAAGGGCCAAAGTTGGCACAAAAATAAATGGATACAAATAGCCATCAGCAAGTTTAGGCTTGAAATTGGACAAAGGATCTAACCATTAGAGGACTGGCGCTCTCAATCACCATGACAAGGGACTAGTGGGGACAAAAAGCCTAACTTGTTTCAAGACTTAGTTTTATAGAGGGGGTCTGCATGATGTGGTTACTTATAATGACATGAGGCCCATCCACGACTGTTCTTAGGAAGTATCTCCAATGGCTGAAGATATCCCCCATCTTGAATTACTACAGAGAATTATTTATCAAGCATCTAACTCAGGTCTACTCAACTTTAGAAGCTCTGGGGGCCACAATGATACTCACAGCACATGCCATGGGCCGCAACTTAAGTATGGCTGCATATACATGAAAATAAATATGCAAATAAATGCAAATAGCTTCTTTCACACTAACGGGTATGAATACAAAGATTAAGGCAAGACTATACAACACGCAGACTCCATTTAAGTCAGTTCTGCTGATATTAATAAAATGCAATATTTACCCGATTTCCACCCATTTGACAGCACTTTTAATGAGCAATGACAGTCCAGGAATTTAACTACTAAAACACATATCAACAGAAGACCATTATATTGACTACTTTTTTGTTTTGGCTTCTACCCGCAGGCTGTATGTTGAGTCACCCGTAAACCCAAACTTGTACCGCGGGACGCAAACAAACGGGCTGCAGACTGCATGTGGCCCACCAGCTACGTGTTGAGTAGCCATGGTCTAACTTGTGGATCTAGCCCACATACTCAGGCTGTGTCTACATTACAAAGTTCTATCAGAAAAAGTTACGCAAATTGTGCTCCGCCATTTGCGTACCTTTTTCCAATAGTTTTTTCGGAAGAGGCTTCCCGAAATTTGGCCCATCTACAATGGGCCAGATTTTGCAAAAGTCTCCTCTTTCAGAAGAGCCCTTCTTCCTTGTGGGAGGAGGAGACAGAGCTTCCGAAAGAGCGCATCTGCTTTTTTTTTTTGGTGTGTAGAAAAGAGGAAGGGGAGATAATTCCTTGGG